AAAAAAAACACCACTACAAAACATTATCTCGACAATTTTTCTCAATGCAATTTTTAATACTTCTAAGCTATCACAAATTACCATATACGTCAATTAGTTTGTCCTAGGACTGAACATATCCGCACTCTTCACACAAGCAACCTTTCAACCTAATCAGACAAACGAAGATTTAATGAGCTCATAAGCGAAATTTTTATGCCTCGCCATAACTTGACAGCTAGATTGCATTAGAAGTGGCAACATAATAACATGGCACTTGAAAATTTGTCCCAAGACAAACTTATACTTTAGAAATCTATTGTTACAAATTTTCCTGCTTCAAAACAGCAGTTTTTTTTGTTAACAAAAGCTTAAAGCTTTGGCCTTGAGCGTCTCGATTCCGGTTTTTCACACTGCCACACAGATCCGTCAAATATAGTTTTGAACTGATCGACACAATACGATATTTTTGACAATGGAGCCGAGTTCAATTGCTGATTCGGCTAGTCAAACAATGCCAGTATCTCAGAGACGAGTAAAATTGCCCAAATACAATACGAACAAGTCTTTTATTTGTTCAGATTTGGCAGATATTGGGATTAGCTGTAGGCGGAAACCATGAATATTCGTTCCGCTCTTAATGAGTTGCCCTTCGTTCGAGTAGACCTTAACTTCGTCAACATGAAGCGATCAAAAAGCACACATGGAATTCAAGTTTTGAGATTTTTGGTAGTATTTCTTCTGTTGATAACATTGCTATCAGCGGATGAACAAGTCAGCTATCCTGAAGCATGCTCACCACAAAATAATGACTGTTATTTTGAACGCTATGGAAACTTGAAGCTCCCGCGGATAGAACCAATACAGGCAAGTAAAATCCGATAATTTATTTTTTTATTTTTTCTACAACCTTTGATTCAAACCTTTTACCACCAGTAGCGAGCCTTTAATTGTTATCAAGCAATTGTAAATACAACATTTGTTTTTATGCGTCCTTACAAAGTAAAAGTGAATCTAGATGTACAACTTCTTAAACAACAACTAAGCGATTCACATTTTAAAAGCGAATTTACATTTAATGACACGAATAATTGGGATATAAAGATTTCCCGCAGTGAACAAAAAGCCCTGATTCAAAATAACACAGCAGCCCTGCCCTTCAAGTTTATAAACGGTACAGTTTGAATAATACGTACTATGCCCAAAGCCTTGTTTGTCACGGTTTTCGCGAGGATTTAGATTTGGCCCGGCGCAAAACAGTAAAATTAAAACCCATTCGGAACGGTTAATGGTTCGCAGTCAGGCATAAAAAAAAATATGAGCCCGCCTTTTCCTGTTCAGTGACTTAGTAGCGTCTAGTTTATTCTACTAACCTGAATTTTTTAGTTGGCTGTCGACGAAATCGCCGTTACTCGATCGAAGCGCAGCATATTTACTGGCACATGGACCAGCTGAAAAAAAATCATTCCAGATACGGGAATACTTCTTCAAGCTCTTTTTAGCGTACAGTCTTTTCTTCTTATGGGAAAATAATATCGAGGCTGAAATTCTGCGAAACTTAAAGAATATTTTAAGAATAAACCTGAGGTTGAGATTTTGAAAAGGATACAATATTTTGTGTTGAAAATTTGTAGGTTCAATACAGTTATATATTTTTAGCTAAACCGTATATAATTTTTGCTTTCTATAAACGGCAAAACTAGCCACCCCCTTCCCCGACAAAAAAGAAACAACAGCACCAGCAGTTTGTTCGATGCTAATTATATTTCTGCGAGAAGGTATTTATATCATATTAGGCTTTATCACCTGCAGTCTGGCTGCAAAATTACTTCAACGCTATCAAAATCAAAAAACGGGTTCGAAATTTCACACGCTATATAATCTAAGAACATTATTTTTAATTACAATCGACAGGAAAGTAGGGATATTTAGCCTGGGCCGGAAAGACAAAATTGTTATATATAAAAAAGTAGTGTATTATAAAATGGCCTTAACTTTGTTGTCGACCAATACTAACTGAATGACAAGTGCTTAAGACGAAGGCACTCAAAACCAACGTGTACGACAATATACTTCACAAAACGCGTTCAATATGATAATTGTGATATAACGCGATCAAGAGAAGATCATACCCTTACTTTGACCTTCTCATGACGCGATTTAATGACTTGCTAAATTTGCGTAGAGGTTTTCTCTTTTCGCGAGAAAAAGGAATAAGGAAAGTTCCACGCGCGGCAGAGGAAGGTGGAAGGAAAAATCTGCGCAACAAGTCAAAACAAAAATGTTAAAATAAAAATAGCATTTTACAATAGTAAAAATAGTGAAAATATTACTTACTCTATCTCCCTAAGAAAAGAGTCAGGAACAGTGAGGGAGTAGGGGCCGACCAATCTTTTTTACAGGAAATTTCGTATAGGTTTGCGTCTGACCAAATAGTCCATCAGGTCTGCCCTCATCTCTGGTTTCTGTAACATGAAGGGACTAGGAGTATTTCTACTCCCCCTGGATGAGATGCTAGTCCATCGCAGGGTTACCCCCAGCATGTAAGTCGCAGTTTCGCATTTATACACCTGGGTGGAGAGAGGCACTGTGAGTTTTAAGTGTCTTGCCTAAGAACACAACACAGTGACCCCGGTCAGGGCTTAACCCGACTGCTCGATGGGGAGTCGAGCGTGCTAACCACAAGGACACTACGTTTAATCTATACATGAAAATCATCAGTTACGCTTCTCCGTATGGAGAGTGGGGCCAGGTACACATGTACATCTGTCATTATTTGTTTATCGTTCATAGGTGGGACACATTAGAACGTTGAATTTAACAGGGGAAGCTGAACATAAGATGGTTACAGTAGCTATAAATCCTCCTATATTCGGTAGGTAAAATAGAACTTGTTTATTACACGTAACACGAGAATTTTATTCCATAAAGCTCATTTGTAGAAATCTATACGCTTTATTTTCACATGTGAAAAAAGCCTATACAGTCAATCAGAATGGCGTACAGCTGTCTCACATGTGGAAGAATAACCAATCAACGATAGCGTAAGGGCCTTTGCGAGCCAATCACAATCGTGTATCGTTTACATTCTAATACATAGCTGCATCAAAATCCAATACAGTGTATTGCCAACAGATCTTTTTTATCAATTTTTGCCAACTGTCCAAATTTAAAACAAATTGGATGGTTTTTGCTCGAACTTTTAGTTTAGCTTTGAACAAACTGTCCAATTTGAGAAAAATCTGGATACTTTCCAACAACCAATCAAATGTCAAGATAAATAAAAGAACCAAGATGCTACTGATTTACTCGAGATGAGGGAGAATAATCAGAACAAGAACACTCAAAGAAGCACAAAAACCAGATGTCACAGACTCTTAAAGGACGATTAAAGTGTTTGATCTCTGGCAATGAAAGAGATCTTGTCCGGGCTTATGACCTCTATGCTTCTAAAAGACCAGATGACTTGAAGACTCCGGATAGCCCGTTTTATTTAGCAATCAACCACACTACAAAAGCCTTAAATAAAAAACCTTGGTTCAAGTCAGTCAGTGAAATCACATGATTATCGTGGCGCCATCGTTTTCGAAAAGCTCTTTTTTCAAAATCCTTTCCGTCCACACTAAAACGCAAAGCATGCGTTTTCAAATTCCTCCGGTTTGAAGAGCGTTTGCGTGACGGATTAGTGTGGACAGTAGGCCTAACTAACCGTAGCGGAAAAGCTGCGTTTTCAAATTCCTCCGGCGTAGTGTGTAGGCTGCCTTACTCTGGCTCAAATGCTACGCTCACGGTGAATGATTCAGGTATATATCAACAGATAAAACTGATAAGTTTTTTTCCAATAGAAATACCCAATTTTCTTTCGGAAGAGGAGTGTGACCACATTATAAATTTAGCAAAGAAGGAAGGCCTGCAGATGTCACANAGATGCTACTGATTTACTCGAGATGAGGGAGAATAATCAGAACAAGAACACTCAAAGAAGCACAAAAACCAGATGTCACAGACTCTTAAAGGACGATTAAAGTGTTTGATCTCTGGCAATGAAAGAGATCTTGTCCGGGCTTATGACCTCTATGCTTCTAAAAGACCAGATGACTTGAAGACTCCGGATAGCCCTTTTCATTTAGCAATAAATCACACTACAAAAGCCTTAAATGAAAAACCTTGCTTCAAGTCAGTCACTGAAATCACACGATTATCGTGGCGCCATCGTTTTCGAAAAGCTCTTTTTTCAAAATGCTTTCCGTCCACACTAAAACGCAAAGCATGCGTTTTCAAAGTCCTCCGCTTTGAAGAGCGTTTTCGTGACGGATTATTGTGGACAGTAGGCCTAACGAACTGTAGCGGAAAAGCTGCGTTTTCAAATTCCTCCGGCGTAGTATGTAGGCTGCCTTACTCTGGCTCAAATGCTACACTCACGGTGAAAGATTCAGCTATATATCAACAGATAAAACTGATAAGTTTTTTTCCAATAGAAATACCCAATTTTCTTTCGGAAGAGGAGTGTGACCACATTATAAATTTAGCAAAGAAGGAAGGCCTGCAGATGTCACAGACTCTTAAAGGAGGATTAAAGCATGACACTTGGGCACTAGGAAAAAATACAAAGAAGCACTTTGACCTGTGGGACCGGAACAAAGATGGACAAATCGACATGGACGAGGTACACTGGGGACCATTTTACAGTTCTGTGAAATATAACCTAGCCTCTGCATGGAATCGAGGTTTGGGTTGACCTTGTGATGATAGAGATTGGAAACTAGTTAGTATGATAACGAAATAATTTACATTTGAAAAGTAACAATGTTTATAGTATAACAAAGTCAACTCTAGTCTCTGTTCTGTTTAAAGGCTTGACCACCACGCACGGAACTGTTAAATGGGTATTGTCGTTATCCAACTGTTGGGCTCTGTCTTGAAAGTTCTCAAGTGAAACAAAGATTATTACGGAAAATGATATTCAAGTTTAATTGCTATGGGTCTGGTACAAACATTACAAACGTACTTATTCAAAGGCGCCCTTCTCTTTTTTCTTTTCCAAAAGATGGTTCACGGGCTAGAAAATAATTTGGACTTCTCTCCGGATAACACGACCCTGCTGCAAATGTAAGTAAAGTGACAAGGGGCTTTGCTAAGCTTTGATATGCATCCAGTTAAAAATTGAAAAGAACAGAGTTTGTTTGTTAGGTGTTCACCACTGTCAGTTCGTCAAGCTTAAAGTGTTTCCTGTTTTAAAATAATTTTTACAGGGGACTGCATAACTTCGAGAGAAACGATTAATTTAGTGGTTGTTGATACTTTTTTCTCGAAACTTTTTGGTGTCTTTTTTCCTCTTTAAGGTCGCCTGTCTTGCATGGCGATTGATGTCTCTTTTGTTGAGCATCTTTATGGCAGCTTTGTTTCTTACTATTTATTTTACTTATTGTATTGTATTTTATCGACTTATGTATTGCTTTGAGCCATTAAATTGTAACAAATTAATTAATTAATAAGCGAGTAAATGATTGTCAACTTTTCATTCTTTTCGTTCGTTGGCAGGTATTCAGCTCTAGAACTAGACAAAGATAAAGACGGTGAGAATTTTCAAATCTCAATTTTCTGCCAGGCTTGGTTTTTACAAATTTAATCAATCATAAAGCAAGCAATAGCTCGTAACTGTCTCCTGGATACAGTTTCTCTTTGATCGTTTAATTTGGTCGCGTACACCACAATCTCAATGAATTGTTGACATCTGAAAAGCCAGCACGTTCAAGTCTCTCTGCAGCAATTTAGCATTAATTTTTCTTACCTCAGTTTAATCGTAAATTACTATCGAAAAACTCAGGGAAAAGNTTCGTATTGTCCACACTACTCTGGAGATATTTTAAAACGGCGTCTTTACTCTGTAAACGCATCAAATGTTATCCGTCCACACTTGAAAACGCAGCAATCACTGGTCATCTTGGATTTGTGTTTGTGGAAAACTCGGTCAGGGAAATCACGTGATTATCGTGACGCCATCGTCAGTTTCGATAAGCTTCGTTTTCAAAATGTTTTCCGTCCACACGAAAACGCAAAGCCGGCGTTTTCAAATTCGTGCGGTTTGAAGAGCGTTTTCGAAAAGCTCCGTTTTCGTGACGGATTAGTGTGAACTGTAGGCCAAACAGTACAAATAAAGCTGCGTTTTCGAATTTTTCCGGCGTCAGAGTGTGGACGGTGCCTGAGTGCCTGATTTATTTCCCTCCTTTAGTTATTTGCCTGCTATATACTGCGCGAAAATGGGAGCCTTGACAAGTAAGAAGTTCTGGCAGATACCAAGTCTCACACTGACCCGCGTTGACTATATCATTCGTAGCATAACTGACTATAAGGCTTTTCAATTGAGTGTCGTAAAACCAACACCAAAGTAATTACTCCATCCAATCACAAAGGACACAGCCTATCCGATGAACTAATCAGCAGCTGACGCGAAGCGTAAGCAAATGTGCGCAAACGAGTCGCGATTGGTTTTGGTTTTACTTCTGATTGGATGAAAAAGTGGGTTAAGCTTTTTAGGCCAATCGTGTACACTATATAGTGTAGCCTTCAAGCAGGCTCTTCGCGTGGTAAAAATGAAGGAGAGGAAAGGGGAAGAAGCTTTTTCATTTCCTAATTTCTTTCTCCACTAAGAGCCTGCTCGCAGACTATCTATAGTGAAAAGCGCTCTGCTAGGTGAACGCGCAATCTGAGTGACTACACCGGTGGGGGTGGGGGGGTGGGGGGGCATCGGGGGTGACTAACGGTCTATAGAGGGCAGTGGGAGCTGATCAATCTTCTAAAATAGCTTTAACTTCAAATTCGAGTTTTGGAAAATTTTCCAAATAGAAATGCATTTTGTTTGATAGAACGGTCAGTGGGTTAGGCTAAAATGAATAGATGGCTTACTCTCGGTTTCCAAGGCCCGCGTAATTTGAGACACAATTCTCAATTAAGGGAACTTCGTCACGGTTTGCGTATCTTGAAAAGGTTAGCCTAAATTTTTCAAGTTCGTTGTTTGTAATCCGTGTTAATCTTCTCCATCCTTAATTATCCTTGTTCCTTCATGGTTTATTATTATCTCTTTGGTGTTTTTCTATGAGTATCTAGGTTTCTATGGGCATTTTCAGTTTTCCTTTCGTTTAAAGTCTAAAACAACTCAAAATGCCCTGGTTGAGCTCTTTTAACACTCTCGGCGTAAAAACTCACAAATGTACTTGCAGTCGCATTCATATTTACGATTATTTATTTCTTACTTTCTGTAGAGTACAGCGACTTACAAATCTTCCTTTGGAACTTATTACATCTAGCGAGTACTTACAAGTAAGTGGTTCTTTCTTTAAATGATCAGATATTTTCTTGGGTTGTGAAATTTTTTGTGATGTCAAAAAAATTTATGTAAAAATCACGACACTTGTTTCTGGTTGTTAACAGGTCGTATCGTACGGCCCTATGGGTCACTATAACTGCCATTTGGATTCAGACTTTATCAGACCGGAAAAGCCATGCTGCCACTACGTGGGAAGCGAGTTGAGCCACTGTAGAGTGTGCAGGTAAATACGGCTGTTATTTCAAGGGAAAATTTGTTGACGCAAGGAGCGAACCACGAAGCAGCAATTAAGAAAGGCAAGACAGAAAGCATGTTCCAGGAGTGGGCAGCTATGCCGTGTGAAATGAAACGACGATGGGTTAAAAAAAAAAATCGCGCCACTTTTTCATCCAATCAGAAATGAGACCAAAATCAATCGTTACTCGCTTCCCGTGCTTCGAATCAGCTACATGTATTTGCTTCGAGCTTTAATTGGTTCACTGAATAGTCTGTGCCCTTTGTGACTGGCCAGAATAATTACTTTCGTTTTGGTCTTACGACACTCAAATTGAAAACCGTTCCGAGGCATTTTCCCCTTGTTCGTGTTTCTTTTTTATACCCTTATCTGGTTGAACCCCTTGACAACATTGCAATAATTGTAAGGAGAAATTTGCTGTCGATTTTCCAAGAGTTGTACGGTTTAATTTGGTTTTTGGCAGGTACGCGACAGTGCTGTATTTCTTGGACAATGTAGAAGAGGGAGGGGAGACTGCCTTTCCCATTGCAGACAACAGCACATTCGATAACGAGGTGAGCCATTAATGTTAAAGTTTTCAAAGCAGTGTTAACTGTCGACAAACTTGCGTGAAACATATATCTTTTCCTACCACTTACAGCTGTAGTCGAACAAAAGGCCAAACGAACAAACGAACAAATGACCGAGAGACAGACCGAACGCCGGAACGGCGAACGACCGATTCAACGAAGGCACGGCCGGCAAATTAATAAAAGTTTACGCATTTAATACTTGCGTGAAACATATCTGTTGATTAATCTCTTCCTACCACAACCTCGTTCCCAAGGTCTCTCATCTTACCGCCCCCTGGAGCGAGCGAAGAGAGACCCTGGTTGGGTCTGGTCACGTGTCTCCCAGAATCTGGGAG